GAAGGGCCCCTCTGCCCTGGGTTCCGTGCCTGGCGGGGGTGGGGGCAGGGACATCCCAGGGCACCCCTGCGGCTCCAAGAGGGCGCCCGGTCACCCCACCTCCCAGCTCTTGGCCGTAGGACCGTGACCCTCCAGGGGCCGGGCTTCCTGCTGGCCTGGGTGCTCCCGGGGCCCGGCCCTCTGGCTGCATTCTCAGGCCCCTGGCCAGGCCTCGCCCATCACTGGCCCTCAGCACAGGGTGTTCACCATGGACGGAACCTAATGAGCCTTTGGCCGCCTCGGGGCACAGAGACAGGGAGGTCCAGAAAGGGCTGCCTTCCCAGCCCCGGGCGCCTACGCCCCACGCCCCTGGGGGGAAGGTGGACGCTGAGACAGGCCAAAGTGAGGGTGAGGCACCTAACCCAGAGGGGCTTCCTGGAGGAGGAGGCACATGCATGGAGCCCTGTAGGATGGGGCCGGGCACAGGAGTGGGGGAGTTATTTAGGTTCCTGAAAAAGTGAGGTGTGGCTCAGGGACCCCACAGAGCCGGTGAGTGCTGGCCTCGGCAGGGCGAGTGGCGGTCGCCAGGCAGCGCCCTGGTGTGGCTCACGCTGTGGAGGGGAGGGCGCCGCCGTGAGCGTTGTCCCAGGGGCTGCGCCAGCGCCTGTGTCCCCCGCAGCTGAGCGCCCTCCTCCTGTCCCCCCACAGCTGTCCTACGTGGACGCCGAGGGCAGCCCCGTGGGCGTGGTCCAGATGACGTTCCTGCGCCTGCTGAGCGCCTCCGCCAACCAGAACATCACCTACAACTGCTATCAGTCGGTGGCCTGGCAGGACGCAGCCACGGGCAGCTACGACAAGGCCATGCGCTTCCTGGGCTCCAACGACGAGGAGATGTCCTACGACAACAGCCCCTACATCCACGCCCTGGTGGACGGCTGCGCGGTGAGCATCGCGTGGGCGCCGCCTCGGGGGCGGAACCAGGCGCCCGGAGCAGTTCATTCAGCCCACACCCATTTACTGGCACGGACCCTGGGCCAGGCCCTGAGCTGGGGGCCGGGGGCCCTGGGAGCCCAAATGAGGAGTGCCCCCCGGCTGCTGCTCTGAGCACGTGGCTGCCCCTGGCCACCCCACAGAGGGCCGGGAGGGAGGGCCGGGAGCCCAGGCCACAAGCCCCTCGGAGGCCGGACATCCACTCGGAGGCCGGACCCTCTGCTTAGGCAGGTCCGTTCGGGACTGGGCCGAGCGGAGACTGGGTTTGCTCCCGAGGCCGTGGCTGTGCTGGGACGGCCTACAGACGCGGGGCGATGACAGCAACCACTCGCTGTGGATCCCCGGCAGCCCCGCCCGCGTTAGGGCAGCTCCCCGGACCCCGTGCCGTCGCGGGGAGGGGGGACAGGCCCAGGAGGCGACAGGCTCGCGCAGGCCGCACGGCCAGTCGGGGCTGGGTTTTCATTTGCTTCTTGGCCTCTGGGCCGGGACGCTGGCCCTGCTCCGCACCCCACGTGTGGCCCCCAAGAGCCAGGCGGGGTTCCTCGCGGAGGGTCAGCCCATCGGGTCTGCACGTCGGCTCTGAGCTGTGCCCTCAGATCCCTGCCCTCCGCACCGCCTGTTCCGAGGCCCTGCCCGCTACCCCCCAGGCCAGATCCCACGGGCACAGGCCAGGGCGGCTCCACCCCTGGCAGGGCCAGAGCCTGCCCTGCGCCCAGGAGGCCCTTCCTCCTCCTGACACGCACCCCCAGCTGCCCCCCGGGAGGCCGGAAGGGGGTGCGGGGCCGAAGGAAAATGTCCCTCTTCTCTGCCTCCCGCCGGGAAGCTAACCGTAGCACCGGCTCCCGGGGGGCCCCGGGCACCCCACTCGCCTAGAAGGAGCTGGGAACCGCATGGGGCTGGAGCTGAGCCCGGTGGACCCGCTCCTGGGGCTGTTTCTAGACAGACAGCCGCTGGCAGGGGCCGCGCTGTGACGGGAGATGAGGAGGCAGAACGGAGAGGCAGGGCCGGCCCAAGCCGGGACTCTGGCTTTGAGCTTCCCGGCTCCCACGGCCTAAAGGGACCCCGTGTGTGGCCCCCCCATGCCACCTTGGTGCCAGGGCAGAGTCAGCCCATAAACGGTGGGGACCTGGTGACCCAAACAGAACTTGCCGATGGGGAGGTGCAGGTCACTTACCCAGAGCTGCCCGCGCCCTCGTGCCTCAGTTTACCCAGGCCCCTCCTCTTCCTACTCTTGTGAGTGCGGCCAGCCTGCTGGCGCCACCATGGGTGCTGAGTTTTTACCAAGGGCCCCTGGTTTGGGCGGAGCCCACAGTCCTGGCGAGACCTCCTTGGGGGGAATCTATGGGGCGACGGGGTGCCCGCCTGGCAGGGACGAGGTGGGTCTGAATGGCTGTGGGCCCCGTCCCAGCCCCGCTCCCTGCTCCCAGCTCCCGGCTCCCGGCTATGGAGGGGGCTGAATGGGACATGGGGGGACCGGGCGGGTGTGGTGGAGACGGTGCTGGAGATCGACACGCCCAAGGTCGAGCAGGTGCCCATCGTGGACATCATGTTCAACGACTTCGGGGAGGCGGCCCAGAAGTTCGGATTTG